ATCAGCGCATAATGAAAGGACACATTCGCTAGCAGAAAGGGATAAGCAAACACTGGAGAATGTTAAGTCGTCCACGAATAGCAACGGGGGTCATGCAGTGCCCGGCGTATGTATCAGTGAAATACGTTCACGATGCTCGTCCACTTCATCAGAGGCAGTGGAGCGCCTGCAGGTAGAGATACGGAGGAGGAGGCATCGAAACACGCGACAAGCGTTGGGACACGAGGGCCACACAAATGGTGGCATGAGTCCAAGCTTGCACAGAGTGCATTATGAAAATGCAAGATTTCGCCTTGCGCCAGAGCAGCTGGCAGTGCGAAAAGGAGGCATAGCTGAATTGCCAAAGTTTATGGGAAAGCCAAAAGAGTGGCCGTTGTTTTTGGCAACATATGAGCAAGCAACGGAACTTTGCGGATTCTCTGATGCGAAGAATCTTATGAGCCTGATGTATGTAGCCCAGGGTGCTTGCAAAACAAAGGCCGTAGACGTGGAGCTGTGTACACGCATCATGAAGGCGGGGAATGCAGGGTCTGCAATGGATAATGTGCATCGGTATCAGACTGTGTAGCCTTCAGGGAAATGTCTCAAGGAGTGCGCTGGAATACCACGAAGGCATTAAAACTCTGCTGGAGGTGTCTTTGGACGCATAGGCAAGAGATGCATCTTCAGTTGCTGCATAGAACGGTTACCGTACCGGTGACTGGCAACTGCAATGCTCATAATCAGACTATCGTTTCAGTCTTCTTCAAAGTTCTGCCAGTCGTCCTCTATGCAAATGGCAACGAGGTCAATACGTATGCGTTTATTGACGACGGGTGCTCAATCACTTTAATGGAAGAGAAGTAACTTCAGGAACTTGGTGTGAGGTCAGCCACAGCCATTATGCATGCGATGGACAGCCGGCATGCATCGTTACGAGAACGAATCAGTAATGGTAAATTTTCGAGTGTCCGGAATTGGCGGTACCAAAAAACACATTATACGAGGTAAGCATACCGTAAAGAAGTTGGGTCTTCCGACGCAGTCGTTTAATGCAGAGGAGATGCAGAAGAAGTATAAGAAGAAATTACCAATATTGAGCAACAACAACGTGCAGCATCGCTTGCTGATCGGTCTGAATATTTGCACACTAGGCCGTGCAATCAGAACGCATGAAGGCGCTACGACAGCGCCCATAGCAAAGAAGAAGCAGGCTCATATCCTTCTATGTGATGAACGCCAGAATAACATTTCAAGAAGACTGGCGATCATGTTGCGACTAGGATGCAACAATAGAAGAAGCAGAATGGAAGAAATGGCAGCGTTGGGCCCAACAAATACCAGGCGTAGAGAAGATGAAAATATTGAGGTGCTGTCCACTGAAAGATTCAGAAGTGGAAATGCATATGTTTGTAGATGCGAGCGAAAATGGTTACGCTGCGGTATGATAAATGTTGCAGAGAGGAGCAGAGGGACTCTAGCACGGTGCTATCCTGGCTACGATTGGATCACAGGCGGTACCGCCAGTTCGTTGGATTTCGGGTAAGCGAGATATTAGATCTAACCGAAATATCCGAATGGCGATGGGCAATGAAAACGTAGCCGATGAAGCCACTAAGTGGCAAAAGACACCCGATTTTTCGAGCAGCAGCCGATGACTGCATGGGCCGACGTTCCTAAGACAGGGTCCACAGGAATGGCCTACGAACCGGCCATAAAACGAGAAACCACAAGTGAAGAACTGCGCGCACAATTTGTTGGAGTGCGCGAGGATGTCGATTTATCGAGTGGCAATGGCCTGATAGACATTACTCGCTTCACAAGGTGGTGACGATTAATGAGAAGCGTTGCAATGGTAATAATTGCGGCACGAAAATGGAGATATGCGGCTCTGACAAAAGGCAAACGTACAGAGTCTCTGACACAAGAAGACCAAGAAGCAGCAGAATGCTTATTGTGGGTCTTTGCACAAGATGAATACTACAGCAGTGAAAAGGCAGCACTCAAGAAGGGTCACCGTATAAATCCAGTCCACTATACACTATACAAGATTCATGCGTATATGGACGACAGAGGAGTATTACGGTTGAAAGGACGATTAAAGCTGTATGGAGGAATTGATCCTGTAGTATTGCCAAAAGAAAGCCGTATAACCATGCTGATTGTTTAAATTCGAAATTCATGCCAGAAATGTAAAAATCAAGCCCTGCCAAGCCCTGGCCACCGCAAATGGCGTGTTTACCGAGTCCGAGGCTGGCGGCTTATCAACCACCATTCACATGCACTGGCGTGGATTTTTTTGGACCGCTTCTCGTGACGGTCAAGAGAAGCACCAAGAAACGATACGGCGTGCTATTTACATCTCTGACTACGAGAAAGCTGTGGAGTGACAATGCTACGAATTTTCAAGGCGCTAATATCGAACTCCAACAGGCAATGGATACGCTTGACGCAGGCAAGATAGCAGAAAAATTCACTGGGCCGATAATGAAATGGAAGTTCATACCGGCTGCTTCGCCAAATATGGATGGCGCATGGGAGCGATTGGTGCTTTCCGTGAAACGCACGCTATATTCGATACTGTCCAGTAGACACCCTTCCAATGAACTATTGCGGGCAGCACTTATGAAAGTGCAGATGACAGTAAACTCACGGCCTCTGACATACATACCAGTGGATGACGAGAACTAGGAGGCGTTTACGCCTAACCACTCCCTGCAAGGAACTTCCAATGGGCAGAAGCCAGCAGTACAAACGCAACCTGAAGGTTTACTCATGAAGAAGAACTGGTTTACAGTGCAGCAAATGGCAGATGAATTTTGGCGAAGATGGCTGCGCGATTATCTAAGAAGAGTAACTGCAGTAAAGCGCAGCACAGACGGGCAAGTACGAAGTGCCACAATAAAAACGGCCAACGGCATTTATGTGAGGCCAGCTGCAAAGCTTGTCGTTCTGTCTATTGGAGTGGATAAGGTAGATCCCGACTGGAATTTACCGGGGGAGAGTGTTACGATAGATCTGGCATCGCTTTAAGATGTCATCGATAATAAGTAAAACAGGTAATGGAAAGTAGGGACTAGAAGCGGCTAGCGCTACCATAACCAAGAAACCACGTTGGCTTGTTCTTTGCAATTCTGCAGCGAGAGGAAGCGGACTAAAAGTAAGAACAGGCTCTAGATCATAAGCATATTGTAATTTTGTAATTCCGTAGGAATTTAAAGCGTCGCCAAAGCAACTCGCCCGAACGACCAGGCAATTGTCGCACATCCATCAACTCTACTTGAGAGTTTTGTAAATAAATATTCACCTGCATCAACACCAAAGGTAGTTCGTTATTTGGGCGGCGCAGGGAAAACTCGAACTGCCGCAACACCGGATCAATATAATGTCTTAAATTGTATTTATTTTGTGTGTGCATGACCTACATATATATTTTCACCTTATTGATTACCAGTAGGCAGGCATTTAAGGTATTTAAATGAACATTTTCTGTTCTTGACAACAAATTGTTCAGTAGTCCGTTACATTTTTGTTCTTGCCAAACTATTTCGTTAAACGAACATGACCACTATAACTAATATTTTTTAAAGCTCGTTTTCCCCCTTTTGGAGCTTTTTCCAAAAGCTTTTCTTAGTGCGCGCCTACTATACTTGAGTCCAAATTTCAGCTTCCTAGCTTTTACCGTTTGGGCTGTGCGTTGATCACCAATTAATCAGTCAGGACAAACTGTTTTATATATGTAGATAACGCGACGTTTTCAGATAGACTATGTGCAAAAAAAGGGAATAATTATAAGAGTACATATGTATATTCTAATTTTAAATTCATATTTGTGTCTTTTCGTGCCTTATTGAGTCAATACGGTTACGCACGAACTCTGAATATGAAACACGGCATTCGTGTCAATGCCGTGCAGCGATGAGCAACGGTCAAAAAGCACTGACAATGCCCATCTCAATTTATTAGAGTAAAACTTTCGATAGCTGAATCCACCGATACTATCGATATCGATACATCGAAGATTATTAAGATCAATTAGAACAAATCATATACATATGTACATACATACATACATACATACATACATATGCCCGCAATACGAAGCAGAATATGCGTAGCTCCGTTATTCGGTTTCTGCTTTACTATCGCTTACTCAGTCGTTGCCTAGCGACGGTAACTGTAAACTTTTGGCATTTTGTCTTTGCAATAAAAAGGCGTGGATGATCAAAAAATGTGAACGAAAGAATAAGAGCGTGTTAATGACAACAACAAAGAAGGACACATGTGAAATGAACTGCTTTATTCAACAACAAAAATAAACTTTGTCAATTTGCCTGACAAAACTATGCTGCTTCGACTACCAATAATGCCTAATAATTATTTACGCATGATTGGTACAACCATGTCGTACGAATGCGAACCTCGCAGAACTGAATGAGTTAATGTAAATATCACCTTACAACAAATAAATCGGTAAAAACCATAACCACTTTTTTAAAGGTTTTTTTCTGTAAATTTTCGGCTTTTTTCTGCCCTTTCTTCTAGTTAGAAACAGCTTTTTTAAAAATTAAAACAAGTAAAAAAGCTAAAGTCGGGTTTCCCGACTTTGAAATACTCTGTACATATGTTTAGAATAATTATAGATATTAAAAAAGTAAGAGAATTAAAAAAAATTTTTTTGATCGACTTTACCTCTCTTGGTATTCGAACTCACGTAAAGGGTGTATAATTGCACATTTACATAGCAATTGCGTCTGTGTGAGTTTATGTAGACCACTGAAGACAACATGTGTCCAATTTTCAGCCTCCTAGCTCTTACCGTTTGGGCTGTGCGTTGATTGCCAATCAGTCAGTCAGGACAAACTGTTTTATATATATAGAGATACAGAGTATTTCAAAGTCGAGACACCCGATTTTAGCTTCTCCACTTGTATTATATTGATTTGTAACTTTCTCATACAAGTAAAAACGCTTGACTACTTGTATAAATCGAAAATGAAATTTTGTTTAATCAATTTCAGAGCCAAGCCCGTATATGTTGGAGGACTTCTGTTTTATTCAATTGGGATGACATTAATGGCTTTAACTAGAGCAAAAATGAGTGTTATTATCTTCAGTTGGGCAGCAGGAGTGATGTATTCTACGTTATTTACTTTGCCTTATTTACTAGTGGCTCATTATCATTCACTTGGCACGGTAAGTAAATACATATTCATGTACATAAATATAGAAATATAGTAAATCTCCAAAATGTGAAACAGTGACTAATAATAATTGGGTCGGTTTTATACCCTGTACCCAAAGGGTATACGAGCCCTAACCCCTATTTCATATCAAAACATGCACCCGTTTCACATAACAATAATGCAAAAAAACATTTAAATAAGACAACTTCAAAATGCACGAAATATTTTTGACCATTTTTAATTGGTACGACACTAATATTTACTAATTAAACCTGAGTATTTTTAATAACAGCTTTAATTCACGTCTTAATATTATTAACTAAATTTAGGCATTCTTCAGGCGTCGAACACTATAGTCCAATATTTTCTGAAATTTTGATTTTAATCCAGACATGGGTCTCAGCTTTATTTTAATGATTATCTACATGTTTTCTATTGCGCTTAGACCTGGGTTTGATGATGTCCTATCTAGGACCTCAATACTATTCTCTTGAACACAATTATTGCTTGTTTTTGCGGGGTGTGTTATATAATACAATAATAATAATGTGGGTGTCAGCTTAGCAATTAGAAGCTTTAGTCTGACTGGAAGGAAATGCTGCGTCAGAGACAGATTGCCTTAGCGTACTATAAAGCTTACCAACTGTTATATTCACATGATCATGCCAAGATAACGTTTCATTAAAGGTTAACCCTAAGTTAGTTGCTCTATGTATTCGATGGGCTCGTTGTTTAGTCTCAGTTTCTCTAAATTGAGTGTGTTTACTTTTTTTTTAGATTACTAGACATTTCGACTTTTTCGGGTTAACTTATAATCCATTCATACTTGCCCATCTACTAATTTCCAAAAGATCGCCATTACAAGCACTAACACATTCATCAATTCTACATAAAGGACGACTCACATACATCTGAACATCATCTGCATACATGTGTAATGTGTGCAATATTATTTTTATACCCTATACCCAAAGGGTGAAAGGGTATACTAGTTTTGTGGGAATGTATGTAACACACAGAAGGAGGCGTGGCAGACCCCCAAAAGTATATATATTATTGATCAGGATGATAAGCCGAGTCGATATAGCCATGTCCGTCTGTCCGTCTGTATGCATGCAAGGATCTCAGAAAGTATAAGAGCTAGAATAACCAAACTTGGTATCCAGATTCTCCGAGAAGTCCGGGAAAGGACGAGTTTGGGTTTTTTTTCGATGCACTCCCCCGCAATTTTCCATAACTCCGGTAATTCTTGGAATTTCTGAAGAAAGTTATAGCCATAAATAAAATCGCTGTCCATGCTCTGCTTGTAGCTCTGCCCGCAGCGCTGCCGACAGCTGTTGTTGTTGCTGCTTTGGTTCAACTTTGTGCTGCATACATACTAGACAGCTGCATGGCTTCACTCATTAGGCAAGTTGAAAAGAATGTAATCGAATTGAATTGAGTTGAGTAAGTGGAACATTGAAAATTAAATGAATTTGTATGAAATGAGTGCGTCTTATGTCTCATAGCATACGACATTCATTGAAATGAGTTCGAATAAATGAAACGTAAAACGAAATGAAACAATTGACATATCGGAAAACATTCGATTTATTCGAGTTACTCTAGTTACTCTACTCTAGTTATTGTAAAATCTGCTCACTTTGGTGCGATAAAGGCCTAAATTGAAGAATATAAAGCCTTTGGATATGCCATCACCAGTGATATATGGACAGATAATTCTTTAAAAGCGACGCATTTGTCCTGTACAATTCACTATACAAAGGAGTGAGTTCTTCTGTTGCACAAAACAAGCTGCAAAATATTTTGCATTCCAGCCAGTACCGTGGCTTCGGAAAGCACATTTTCAAACGCTAGAAATTTAATAACAGAAAAATGTTGTCTATTAGCCACCAAACTTGACAAAGTTAACCAGATAATGTTTTTAAATTCTAATGTAAAATATATAGATATTGTTATGTTAGTAATAGGTAAAATAAATACAAATGAAAATGTATTGACTACATTTTTTCTTTCTTCTTTACCGGTTTGTCATTCGAATCATTCGAGAACTACGTTTAAGTTTTTCTTATTCTCACTCCATTCAATTCGTTTTTCTACGTTTCGACTGAGTGCTACTGAGTTGTACGTGTGTATACTCATTCATTCATATCAGTTTGCCTTTGTATTCTAATTTACTCAACTCATTTTCAGCATTGTGTATTCGAATGTGATTTTTTTGCAATTCATGCAGCTGTCTAATACATACACGCATATAAACAAGCAGAGACACGATCCTGATGTAAATGTATGCTGTTGAAACTGTACATGAACATGTCACCACTTTTGTATATATGTATTGAATTAAATTAAATAATTTAATAAATATAATTTTTTTTAATTAATTAAAAAATTTTGTTTCCATTTTTTTTATGGGAGGTACAGGGTATTTAAGAGTTGAGTCTGCTCGACTTTAGCATTCCTTTCTTGTTTTAAATAAGGCTGTAAAATAGTGAAATGTAAAAATAAACATGAGAGTTGTCGAAGAAAGCAAACGCGTTGTTTGTTCGCTTCGGAAAATTCCATAATTATAAAGTTAAGCCGAACATTATTTAACACACATAGTGAAAGAAAAGAAGAATAGACATATTAATGCAAATCGGTGTTGTGCTCCGTTCATTCTAATTGTTCAAATAACTTTAAATTACTAATTTTAAACAAGTAAAAAATCTAAAGTCGGGTATCCCGACTTTGAAAAACTCTGAACATATGTTTACAATAATTATAGAAAATAAAAAAAAGTGGATCTATTTTACCTGTGTCTGTGTAAACATTTTTGCCGTCAACCAAAGCACCAGCATCAAAAGAGGCTGCGGGCAGCGCGTGGGCAGCAAATATATTTATGGCTATAACTTCTTGTTAAATCGGCCTATTCATAGTGGACACATAATCACTTACTGGGGGTATTCGCAAAATTTTAGATCGAAATTCCAAGAATTACGGGAGTTACGAATTGTGTGGGAGAGGGGGGAGAAAGGGAAATTCCAAAATACACATTTTCTGCGTATTCACATAAGGCATCTTGGAATAAATTTTGTGTCCCTAGATCTTATAGTCTCCGAGACATAGGTGATTATACGAACGGAAAATCGGGAAAACCCTATAGGGGGGAAGTGGGGGGAAAATCAAAAAAAAAAATAAAACAAACTTGCACAGCGTACATACATGTAAGATGGGAAGGCAGGATAGTGAGAATGGCGGAACACCTAGAAGCAGCATCGCCGTCAGTACTCGCTACTCATTTTGGTTTTAAGCAGTCAGGAGAAATGTACTTAGTAGTCAGTAGTAAGTTGTCAGCCGCACTACTAACACAATCATCAGCCGTAAAGACAGAAGCAGAAGTCAGCAGTCAGAAGATGAAGCAGAGAGAAGCCGTCAGAGAAGTCAGCTGTCGAACCAGAGTGCATTAGCTGCATATGCTAATATTCGCCATCATCATTTTTACATTATATTCCTATTTTAAACTATATCATATATCTTGGTATCGTTATCAATAATAAACATTCTATGATACACAAGATCACATTTGGGGGCTCAACCTAAAAATTTTGAAAGCTGTGGAAAAAAAGGCTGTGAAAAAAGTGACAAAAAGTGCGTGAAAAGTGGCATGCATACTCATATGTACATTAAATTCAATTAAAGTTGCATGAGTGCCAGAAAAACGAGATCAGGCTACAAACCAAAGTCGACGCCAGTACCCACAGTTGCAAAGCCGAAGGCGCCAGTAGTCTCAAGGACAAAGAAGCCGTCAGTTTCAACGCGGTCGACGCTCACGAAAATGAATAACAAAGAGGACAAGTGAGCACGCACTGACAATATCATATGAGGCGATGTTGCCAGAAAGATCCGAGGGCAACAGAGAAAAACAAGAGAAAATGCAAGAAGAAACGAATAGAACCACAACAGCCGAAAACAGCATTACCCTGAATTGCCAAACGGAAGACAGCAGCAAAGAAAAAGGCAAATTGGTGGTGGAAACTTTTTCTAAAATTATTCCGGAGTTTGACGGTGAAAATATGCAAGTGGAAAAGTGGTTCACAAATTTTGAATTAAATGCAGACGCGTACGGTTTGAGCTTAAAACAAAAGTATGTTCAGGCACGCGCCAAGATGACGCGCACAGCAGCATTGTTTTTGGAGTCTACGTTCATATACGAGTACAAATCATTGAGTGAACAGGTGATCGATGAATTTCAACGAGGCAAAATTTTGAGTGCCGAAATTCACAAACAATTAAGTGCTCGCACAAAACGCAAAAATGAACATTTTCATGAGTATTTGTTGCAAATGAAGAGCATTGCAGCGCGTGGACTGATGGATACTGAATCGTTAATTCGATATGTTGTAGATGGGCTAAATCTTAAAACTGATTTTAAATACAATTTGTATAGCTGCACATCGTTCAAAGAATTGCGAGAGAAATATGAAGTTTACGAAATGGTAGCGGAAACAAACGAGAAAGCGTACGCAGAGAGAAAACAAATACAACAACAAAAATGCAAATGTAAGAAGCGAAAGGAAGCAGAATTGTTTAAATTGTGGTGCAGTGGATCATTTGCGCAAGGACTGCAAAGCTGAAATCAAGTGCTTTCGTTGCAATAAAACTGGGCATATGTCAACAGAGTGCACATCTTCGGCCGGCGTAGATAAAAATTAATAATGCAGTGGTCAATGCACTTGTCGACACCGGAGCAGACGTCTCAATAATGAGAAAGGCAGCATTTAACAAAATCGGCGGCGCCAAATTGCAAAGCAACGTGGCTACACTTCGAGGTTTGGGCACTAACAGGATACGCCCGGTGGGTCAATTTCTAGCAGAGGTGGAGATCGACAATATGAAGGTGTTACACAAGTTCTTGGTAGTGGCTAATGGCGACATTGGATGCGACGCGCTGCTTGGATACGACTTTCTTTCAAACTTTAATGTCACGTTGACGGCTGGATTTAAGTTTTCTCCCCCTGCTGGGGAGAA